CCCACCAACAGTGAATAAGGGTTCCAGTTTCTCCACAGCCTCGCCAGCATTTGTTGCTTGCTGTTCTGTTAAATTTTGCTATTCTGACTGGGGTGAGATAATATCTCATAGTTGTTTTGGAAATGTTCATTACTTTTTAAAATATATTTTTAAATACATTGCTTTGTTACTTTCTAATTTAGTGATTTAGATTCTTGTTTCTTTTTTTATTTTAATATCTGTTAAAATTTTCTTTCATTTTATAATTGATGCTTTTCCAAAGAGTATTCTTTATACTCTGTTTAAGATGTCAGAAGGTACATGAAACATCTTAGATTTGCTATTAAAACAGATTTTTTTAAAAAAAAAGTACTCAAAAATTTAAAAGGCTTATCTTCAGATACTTAGAAACTGCTATCTAGAATTTATCAGCAAAAGAAGTCTTTTTGTTATTTTTTGCCTCTTCTGATACAGTTTCTAGTCTACCATCAGACTCTGTCTATTTACTACTCTTTTAGCATATAGATTTACCATTTGTAGTATGGAGAATGATAAAGTTGGAAACACAAGAGTGTAAATAAGATGAATTTCTTGTGTCCTGTGGCCGTGACTGTGTTTGCTACTGTAGGCATTTTTTGTGGGGCTGGTGTGTCCACAGTGTTGTACTGTCTGTGTTGTCGCAGCCATAAACTTGACATTGCAGGCTTTCTGTTCCCAGAATTTAGATGATTATTTTTAAAGTACTAAAATATTAAAAGACAAATTCATTTCACAACTGTTGGTTATAGTATATTAACTAAAAATATAGAGGCATGTTGTAGTTATCATAAATACTGAGTTGAAATAAATTGTCTCACCAACAAAATATTATTGTCCTTCTAAGGATAGATAGTGTGGATCACAACAAACTGTGGCTGATTCTGAGAAGAATGGGAATCCCAGAACACTTGATTGCGCTAATGTGAAAACTATCCTTGGACCAGGAGGCAGTCGTTAGAACAGAGCAGGGAAACACTGCATGGTTCAAAATTGGAATGGGCGTATGATAGGGATGTGTCCCATATCCATACCTTTTCAACCTGTATGCACAATAGATTATCTGGGAGGCTGGGCTGTATGAGGAGAAGTATGGCATAAGGATTGGAGGAAGATTCATCAACAATCTGCATTATGCAGATGACACAAACCTTGCTTACTGAAACTGAAGAGAACTTGAAGTGCTTGCTCAGAAGATCAAGGGCTGCAGCCTTCAATATGGATTGAAGTTCAACATCAAGAAAACAAAGATTCTCACCACTGGGCTACTTGGCAGCATCAGGATGGATGGTAAAGAGATTGAGATTGTTCACAGCTTTAGTTTGCTTGGCTCCACAGTCAACACTCTTGGCACCAGCAACCAGGAAATTAAAAGACATATTGCGATGGGAAAGTCTGCTGTTAGAGACCTCTCCAAAGTACTGAAGAACAATAGTGTCACTCTGGAGACTAAGGTGCACCTGATAAAGGCCATGAGCTTTTCAATCACTTGCTATGTGCCAGCTGGATAGGACTAGGGAGACTAGAAGGAGAATTGATGAGCTGTGGTGTTGGAGAAAAATATTGCATATATAATGGACTGCTAAGAAAACAAGTTTATCCTGGAGAGGGTCAAACCAGGCTGCTCCTTGGAGGCAAGGATTCTGAAGCTTTGTCTGATGTACTTTGGACATGTTGCAAGGAGGGACCAGTCCTTGGAGAAGGACGTCATGCTTGGGAGGGTGGAGGGACAGTGCAGGAGAGGAAGACTTGATGAGGTGGATTGATTCAGTGACTGGGATGGGTGCACTGGAGACAGTGAGATTGGCACAGGATAGAGCAGGGGTTAGGACTGTTGTACATAGGGTCACTATGAGTCACAGGCGATTCGACAGCTCATAACAACAACAACAGCAACAGCAACAACAAGGATAGGTATGTAGCTGGGACCTTTTTGATAAATGCGTTGTTTTTGTATTGATACTTTAATACATTGTTTTATTTTTATGTTCAAGAATAAATAAGCTGATTTATAGCAGAAGCTGAATTAACTAATTCCTCCCATGAACAAAAATAAGAATAGTTAAGAGCGTTCATAATGCGTATGTAGTCAAATAACAAATTTTATATTCTCTTTACATTATATAATGGACTTGTTTGCATGAGCTAATTATACAGATTTTCTGCAAAATTGTATAAATACAAATATATTTAAGATTTTTAAAGTGCCCCTTGAGCCTTTGACCAAGGGTGGAGGCCTGCTAGAGGGTATGGCTTTAAAATATTTTGGTGAAGGGATGGGCCTGCAGGCTTTCCATGGGCCTGGAGCTTCCACTCTAGGAGTTGGCTGCGTCTTGATAGTGGTCACGTAAGGGAAGTTTTTTTGGGTTGTGTTTGATGCGTGTTACTATTCTTTCCCCTGAAAAGCTGATAGTGCCCCTTTTGCCTTGAGGCCTGCTAGAGGATTGGCTTTAAAATTGCTTAGCGAGGGGATGGTTCTTTAAATGGCATAGCAGTTGTTTGTTTATTTGCTATACTGAACAACTTGGAGTTTTGTGATGCTGAACACTGTTCCATAGTCTTGTCAAATACTATAATGTTACCCATTATTCACAATGTTTGAATGAGCTTACAGATTGATTCATGCTGGGAAGCAGGAGTGGCATCCACTTCCTAAACTAGATGCCTCTGGAAACTCCACAAACTCTCTAAACTCTATATGTACAGAAATTATGTTAGTTACAGAACAGAGTTCAAGTCTTTTGTGCAAAGCTTACTCTGAGTTGTATTCGTGTTGACAACACTTAATTGCTGCTAAATGAGACTAGTGCTTTTATATCTGGAGAAACTCTCTCCACTTTGTACATCATTCTTTGACAATGTGCTGTATGAAGTAACCTGGGTTTGCTGTGATGCTGACCCTTGTGCCATTGGGGTACCAAATACCGTAATGGTTTCCCAATGTGGACAGTGTTTGCTGGTGCTCCCAGGTGTAAAACAGGTTTGGAAACAGCAGTGGCATCCACTTTCTAAACCACATGCCTCTGGAAACTCTATGAACTTGATGATAGTTACGGAAAGGCATTAGGTCTTTTGTTCATAGAGTTGCTATGAGTCGTGCTCGACTCAATGACAACAACAACAATGCTTATAAAAACAAAGGATTTAGTGTCCTGTATTTCATAAGCACTGAATTCATTTACAAATTATAGTAATCTTACTCCCTCTATTCCTAGTCCAAGTGACTTCCTTAATAAATATTAAAGCCTTATTCTTTCTCCCACCCCCGCCCAATTTAAATCTATTGTAGTTTAAAGTAGTAGTATTAATAAAAACCAAACTTTTAAAAATAAATAAACCCCTATTTGGTATTTCCGCAAAAAACTGAACATAGAAATTCCATAAGACCTCGCTATTCCACTGCTGTGAATACATTCCATGAAAATGAGAACTGAGCTGCCAATGGAGATTTGTACACCAATGTTCATAGCAGCGTATTCACTATAGGTAGGAAATGGAAACAGCCCAGATGTCCATCAGCAGATGAATGGATTGAGAAATTGTGGTGCATTCACGTGATGGAATACTATGCAGCACTCAGAAGCAATGATTTAGGAAAATACTATATAACATGGGAGAGGTTGGAAAGCATTATTTTGAGTGAACTAACTTGGGCTCCTAAGGACAAATACTGCATAAGACCATTATTGTAAAAATAGAAGGATTACTAGTAAGATGTGCAAAAAAGAAGCCCAAATGGAAAAGGGGGAGAGAAAGGGGTCTGAGGAGGGAAGGGGGGAAGTCATGGTGTCACAGAGTTTGGTGGGCAGAAGGAGGGGGTAAAGGAATTAGAAAAGATCCAGTAAGGACTTGAGAAGACTGGGCAGTAGTAGTCATGGATCAGTGGCGATTAAGTTTATATAATACATGGGAATGACTATGTGAAACACAGTGCATACAAACAAAATACAATATAAATTTTGTATGCAAACCAATATAAAATAACAATAAAAATAATAATTTAACAAAGAATATGCCATCTCATTGAAAAATTGGGTAAATATGACATAATGGCATCTAAAGTGACAAGGAATTAAAATTAATTTCTTGTCGGGTAATGACATCAATTTTTATTTTCTGTTTATCTCATGTTGAAAGTACTTAACACCTCTTGGAACTTTGACCAGAGGTTGCTATTGTGAGCAGACTTAGGCAAACAGAACTTATAATCGGATTTCTGTTATAAAGGTTTATTGTGGTATATTTCTTTTGATGACTCTAAAGTTAGTTGGAAATTATGAATACAGAATAACTTTGCTAAGTTGTATTAATGAACTTAATATACTGTAGATATTCTATATGTGAGGGAATCTATCATGAGAATGCTGTTTAATTCTTATCCTCGCTACCATCTCATCTTTTTCCTTTTTTTTTGTTTTCAAGAGAAACTGGTAGCCTGAGTAGATTTAAGACATGTTTAAGAGAAAATGTTTTGGGGAGCCCCAAGGAATTGATGAAGCTAAGTGTGCCATCATTAGTGTATGCTGTCCAAAACAACATGGCCTTCCTAGCGCTTAGCAATCTGGATGCTGCAGTATACCAGGTAAGCAGAACTGCTTATAGTGCAGAACACAGTATCTTAAAAAAATGGCTTTTTACGAGGTATGTCTTGGAGAAAATGCAGCTAGCCAGAGTACTCCTTAGCCAGAGGATGACAAGGCTTTGTTTAACAAGCTTGGTCTCACATACTTTGGGCATGTTGCTAGGAGAGACTATTTCTTGGGAAAGGATATCATGCTTGGAAAGGTGGAGGGTCAGTGAAAGAGAGGATAACCCTCAACAAGATGGATTGACACAGTGACTGTGGCAGTGGGCTTAAGTATGTCAATAATGATAAGGTTGTACAAGATAAGACAAGGTTCAGATCTGTTATTCATAGGGTAACTATGAGTTATGTTCAGCTTGCCAGCATGTAACAATAGCAGCTTTTTATAATATTATCAAATAGTGTTTTATAATTCTGTAAATGATATCAGAGATAATATATATGTGTGCAAAAGATTGATACTAGCTGAATTCATTAATTCATAGTTTTGCCCCTAGGTGACTTACCAGTTGAAGATTCCCTGTACTGCTTTATGTACTGTTTTAATGTTAAACCGGACACTCAGTAAATTACAGTGGGTTTCAGTTTTTATGCTGTGTGGAGGAGTCACACTTGTACAGTGGAAACCAGCACAAGCTACAAAAGTTGTGGTAAGTTGCGTATTGTAAACAAAACAGGAAACGTTTTTAAGTCTAATATACTAAAAATAGCCTTACTGATGAATGTATTATGATTATATTCTTTCATTTAAAATGATCTTTGCTATTTAATAGGTAGGCTCTCTGTACTTAGTATAATATTGTTGTTGTTACATGCCGTCGAGTCGCTTGCGTCTCATAGTGACCTTATGTACAATAGCCCTAAACTCTGCTCTGTCCTGTGCCAGTTGCACCATCTCCAACACACCCATCCCAATTACCTCAGTCACTGAATCCACTTCCTAGAGGGCCTTCCCCTCCTGCACTGTCCCTCCACCCTCACAAGCATGATGTCCCTCTCCAAGGACCTGTCCCTCCTTACAACATGTCCGAAGTATGTGAGATGGATCCTTGCCTCCAAGGAGCCGCCCGGTTTAACCCTTTCCAGGAAGAATCTATTTGTTTTCCTAGCAGTCCATGGTATCCTCAATACTCTTCTCCGGCACCACAGCTTAAAGGCATCAATTCTCCTTCTATCCTCCTTAGTCACTGTCCAACTCTGTGATGCATAACAAGTGACTGCAAAGATCAGATGCACCTTAGTCCCCAGAGAGACACCATTGCTCTTCAGTACTTTGGAGAGGTCCCTAACAGCAGACTTTCCCATCACAATACATCTTTTAATTTCCTGGCTACTGATGCCGAGAGTGTTGGCTGTGGAGCCAAGCAAACTAAAGCTGTGAATAATCTCAGTCTCTTCAACCATCCATCCTGATGCTGCCAATTGGCCCAGTGGTGAGAATCTTTGTCTTCTTGACATTGAGCCTCAATCCATACAGAAGGCTGCAGTTCTTGACCTTCTGAAGCAAGTGCTTCAGGTCCTGCTCAGGTTCAGCAAGCAGGGTTGTGTCATCTGCTATGTACTTAGCATAATGCTGTTTATTATTAAAGATGATAATATTTTCTGGCTTTCTATCTCTTAGAGGAGAATAAAGAAAAGATAGGCATCCCCATAAGCAGTAATCCAGTCCCTTCAAAAGTAAAGTACAAAAGAGAAAGTAACTTAAAGTTGTACAGTTATTAGTTAATGTACAACTGAAGCTGTGCAAACTTCCACACAGTGTACATATTTGTAACTTGTAAGGTTTGGGTTTTCCAGACATCTCAGAAACACAGTGGTATACCATCCAGCAGTGCATTATCTAGCTCAAGAAACATTATTTTTCTTACTGAACTAAATAGACTTTCAAGTCATCGCCAGTGTTTTAAAATACTTTCACAGGCTACTGCTTATTCTGAGTTTTCAATTTCTTTTTGTTAAATTGTGATTTGAGTGAAAAGTTTAGAGGGAATTAGTGTTCCATTTAAATATTCACATCAGTTTTGCCTTTGACATGAGTCAGAGACATTTTAACTGCACTCTCCCTACTTTCCTTCGTGTTTCTTGTCTCCATTAATCTGTCTATCCTGTCCTGTTGGTGATATACTTTAATTCTTTTTCTTAATGTTTTTGTAAAATTATAATTCATTCATGATGTCCTTGGTCAGTAATACTGATGTCTTTTATGTATTCTTTTTCAGAATTTTATACTTTATATTTCTTCCTTTATCATCATGTAATAATTTTAGACAAAGATTTACTTTCAGGTACTTAAAATCATGGAATATCTTCTTACACTTACTGACTTCCTTTGAATGACTTATTTTCAACAAAATGTGGCTTTCTTTATTATAGTAATGGCTCATGAGTTTCAGTGACATTATTGAGATTGTATTTATTTCTTGGTAAAGACTGAGGAAAACCAGGAAGGTTAATTATACTGGAGGGGTGAGAAAGACAAAGATAAGACAGGAGATTGGGGCCTGTTTTTCTGCATCTGTTAGCACTTTTTTTTTTGTTGCTGTTATGTGCCAGGGAGTCACTTGCGACTCTTAGAGACCCTATGTACAACAGCTCTGAACCCTGCTCTGTCCTGTGCTAACATTATTATTTCTGACACACCTACCCTCATTACCCCAGTCACTGAGTCAGTCCATCTCATCAAAGGTCTTCCTCTTGCGCTGTCCCTCCACCCTTCCAAGCATGATGTCCCTCACCAAGGAATGGTCCCTCCTTGCAGCATGCCCAAAGTATGTCTGACGAAGCTTCAGAATCCTTGCCTCCAAGGAGAAGCCTGAGTTCACCCTCTATAAGACGAAGCTGTTTGTTCTCATAGTAGTCCATGGTATATTAAATACTCTTCTCCAGTACCATAGCTCAGAGGTATCAATTTCTCCTCTTATCTCTAGTCATTGTCCAGCTTTCTGACACATAGCAAGTAATATCCTGGATCAGGCGTACCTTAGTCTCCAGACTGACATTGTTGCTCTTCAGTACTCTGGAGAAGCCCCTGACAGCATACTTTCCCAATGCAATTAATCTTTTGATATCCTGTGTGCTGGTAACAAGAGTGTTGATACTGGGGCCAAGCAAACTGAAGGTGTTAACAACTTCAGTCTCTTCATCTATCATGCCCAGTGGTGAGATTCTTTGCTTTCTTGATGTTGAGCCTCAATCTATATTGAAGGCTGCAGTCCTTGAACTTCTGCAGCAAGCATTTCAGATCCTCTTCAGTCTCAGCAAGCAAGGCTATATCACCTGCATCATGCAGATTGTTGATGAGTCTTCCTCCAATCCTGATACCACATTCCTCCTCATAGGGCCCAGCCTCTTGGATGATTTGTTCTGCATGTAGATTGAAAAAGTATGGAGATAGGGCATATTCCTGTCATATAACCTTCCCGATTTTGAACCATGCAGTGTTTCCTTGCACTGTTCTAACGACTGCCTCTTGGTTTGGCATAAGCACAATTAAGTGTTCTGGGAGTCCCATTCTTCTCAGAGTTAGGCAGTTTGTTGAGCTCCACACAGTCATATGCTTTTTGCATAGTCAGTGAAACATAGACATTCCTCTGGTACTCTCTGCTTTCAGCCAAGATCCATCTAGCATTAGTCATATTATCTCTAGTACCACAGCCTCTTCTAAACTCAGCCTGTACTTCTGGCAGTTCTCAATTGATATACTGTTCCAGTCGTTTTTGGATAATTTTCAGTGGAATTTTATTTGCTTGTGATACTGTTTGGTTATTTCCACATGGTTGGGTTACCTTTTTTTGGAATGGAAAGATATGGATCTCTTCTAGTCAGTTGGCCTGGTGGTTGTCCTTTATAGTTTCTTGAAACAACTTGGTGAACACGTCCAGGGCAGAGTCTGTTTGTTGAAATATGTCAATTGGTATACCATCAATTGGCCTTGATTTTTGCCAGTTCTTTCAGAGCAGCTTGAACTTCTTCCTTCATCACCACAGGCTCTTGCTCATTCATTGTTTCATGAAAGTCTTCTGTTTCACAGCCAATTATTTTTTGGTACAGTGATGCTGTATACACTCCTTCCCTCTTCTTGTAAAGCTTCCTGGATCATTTAAAATTCTGCCCAAAGCATCCTTAAGTATTGCAACCCGAGGCTTAAATTTGTTCTTTACTTCCTTCAGGTTAAGAAATGCCAAGCGAGTTCAGCCCTACTTCCTTCAGGTTAAGAAATGCCAAGCGAGTTCAGCCCTTTTGATTTTCTGGCTCCAGCTCTTGGCACATTTTGTGATAATACTTTACTTTGTCTTCCTGCACTGCCCTTTGAAATCTTCTGTTCGGCTCCTTAATGTCTTGATTTCTTCCCTTCGCTTTGGCTTCTTGATGCCTTAGTGCAATATTCAAAATCTTGTCTGACATCCATCTTGGTCTTTTCTTCCTCTGTTTTTATAATGACCTTTTGCATTTTTCATGGATGATATTCTTGATATTCTCCCATAGCTCACCTGGTCTTTGCTTTTACAAGTCTCTCCTGCACGCGACCTATTTAAGAACTTTCGGGTGTATGTGTATTGACATAGTGTGTAACATTTATCTGGTATATAGTATGTTATAAATATCTGATGAAAATTAAAGCCGTGTTAAAAGCCTACTGACAGTAGGAAACTTTTGAGAAATTTTGTGTAAAGAGTGAATTCAAATTACAACTTAATAAAGAAACTGTTGTTGTTGTTGTTGTTATGTGCCGTTGAGTCGTTTGCGACTCATAGCGACCCTATGCACAACAGCCCTAAACCCTGCTCTATCCTACGCCAACTGCACCGCCTCTGACACACCCATCCCTATTACCCCAGTCACCGAATCAATCCATCTCATAGAGGGTCTTCCCCTCCTGCGCTGTCCCTCCACCCTCCCAAGCATGATGTCCCTCTCCAAGGACCCGTCCCTCCTGGCAACATGTCCAAAGTATGTCAGATGAAGCCCCAGAATCCTTGCCTCCAAGGAGTAGCTTGGTTTAATCCTCTCCAAGATGAATCTGTTTGTTTTCCTGGCAGTCCATGGTACATTCAGTACTCTTCTCCAGTACCACAGTTCAAAGGCATCAACTCTCCTTCTGTCCTCCCTAGTCATTGTCCAACTCTCTGATGCATAACAAGCGATTGCAAAGACCATGGCCTGTATCAGGCGCACCTTAGTCTCCAGAGAGACACCATTGCTCCTGAGTACTTTAGAGAGGTCCCTAATAGCAGACTTTCCCATCGTGATACGCTTTTTGATTTCCTGACTGCTGGTGCCAAGAGTGTTGACTGTGGAGCCGAGCAAACTGAAGCTGTGAACAATCTCAATCTCTTTGCCATCCATCCTGATGCTGCCAATTGGTCCAGTGGTGAGAATCTTTGTCTTCTTGACATTGAGCCTCAGTCCAAACTGAAGGCTGCAGTCCTTGACCCTCCGCAGCAAGTACATGAGGTCCTCCTCAGTTTCAGCAAGCAGGGTTGTGTCATCTGCATAACACAGATTATTAATAGATCTTCCACCAATCCTGATGCTACAATTCTCCTCATAGAGCCCAGCCTCTTGGATAATCTGCTCTGCATACATGTTGAAAAGGTATGGAGAGAGGATGCATCCCTGGCGTACACCCTTCCCAATTTTGAACCATGCAGTATTACCCTGCTCTGTTCTGACTCCTGCCTCTTGGTCCAAGTATAGGTTTCGCATTAGCACGATTAAATGTTCTGGGATTCCCATTCTTCTCAGAGTCAGCCACAGTTTGTTATGATCCACACAGTCAAATGCCTTTGCATAATCAATGAAACACAGATAGACATTTTTCTGGTATTCTCTGCTTTCAGCTAAGATCCATCTAACATCAGCAATGATATCCCTAGTACCACGACCCCTTCTAAACCCAGCCTGGACTTCCGGCAATTCTCTGCTGATGTGTACATGTTTAATTCAATGCCAATATAGATACTAAATTCCTTTTCCATATAGGTAGGAAAGTTAATTGGCAAATTTATTTGGAAAGGAAAGAGATCCCGAATAAGCAAAGCATTTCTGAAAAACAAGAATGAAGTGGGAGGTGTAACACTCTTGATCTCAAAACCTACTGTATAGCTCTAATAACCAAAACAGCATGGTTCTGGTACAATAACAGGCACATAGACCAATGAGGCAAAATCGCGAAGCCAGAAATTAACCCATCTGCCTATAATCTGCTGTTGTTAACAAAGAAACAAAGCCTATCAAATGGGGAAATGACAACCTTTTCAACAAATGGTGCTGGCAAAACTGGAATGTTACTTGCAGAAAGCTGAAACAGGACCCAAATCTCACACCATAAATAAAAATCAACTCAAGATGGATCAGAGACCTGGGGTAAAATCCAAAATCATAAAGATCAAAATGGGACCAAACTTAGAAAGTGGTATAAAGAGGCTGACAGATACATGCAGAAATGCACAACCATGAGAGGATAACATCAATGAATGGAATCGCCTAAAGATTAAATCCCTGTGTGCATCAAAAATTTTTACCTGTGAAAAGAAAACCTACTGATGGAGAAAAGCATTTGACAATGATTTTTCAGACAAGGTTCTTATAACAGATTACAGAATCCTACAAGGTCTTCACAACAGAAAGACTGATAATGCAGATACAAAATGGGCAAAGACCTAGAAAAACTTTTTACAGAGGAAAACATTTCTTTGGCCATCAGACACTTGAAGAATGCTCCATATCATTGGCAATAACAGATGCTTATCAAAACAGAATGAGATACCAGTAAGATACCATCTCACACTGATAGCAGTGGCAAAGTTTAACAGGACAGCAAGAAATAAATATTGGAGGGTATGGAGAGATAGGAACTTCCGTACACTGTTGGTGGGATTGGAAAATGGTACAACTATTCTGGAAGACAGTTTGATGTTTCCTCAAAAAGCTGAACATAGAAATTCTGTATGACCTAGCTATTCCACTGCTAGGAATATATTCCGAGGAAAATAGAACTAAGACACAAATGGTGATATTTACACCTAGGTTCATAGTAGTGTGATTCACAATAGCTAGAAAGTGGAAATGGATTGAGAAACTAGTATTTTCACACAGTGCACCAAGAGTAATGATTTCAAAGACTATAACTTGGGAGAGGCTGGAGAGCATTATGCTGAGTGAACTCACTCATTCTCATAAAGACAAATACTTCTAAGACCATTATTGTAAAAATAGAAGGATATTTAGTAAGAGGTGCACTAACGTCCACAGAGAGCAAGAAAGAGGAGAGGTGAGTGTGGGAAGGGGGAAAATCATGAGTCATTGAGCTTGGTGGGTAGTGGGAAGGAATTGAAGGAATTAAGAAAGATTCAGTGGGGACCTGAAAAGGTGGGCATGGATCAGTGGTGATTAATTTTATAAAATACAATGTCTTGGAATGACTGTATGGAACACAATGTAAATAGAGGAATATGTGTAACGCAGTATATAAACGAAACACAATGTATATATGAATTTTGTAAACAAACCAGTATAAAATAAACCACTACTAGTTTCCAGGCATGTTGATGTATGGGCTTGAATTAGAGTTGGCAGTAGTTAAATGAAGAGTCAGCTAGCTGGAGAGAGGTGGGCGTAGACCAAGGTCATTGTGCTGCTATCCCGAAGGTGGTGCTTCTGGTGATTGGAATCCACCAGTGGTTCCGTGGCAAGAAGATTGGCAGTTTCCTCCAGTGAGATTTACCTCCTCCTGAAAACCTGCTCAGGGTTAGCTTTGAGTCACTTCTGAGTTGGCAGCAATGAGTAAATGTGGGAAGTGGACTACATGGATATGGTGAGAATGAATATATTAAGCATGTACCATGGCTGTGATATGAGGGACACACTTTTAAGTCCAGTGCTTTGGTAAATTTGTGAAGTGTTTTTGTTCTGTTTGGTATTGTTTTACAGAATATTTGTGTCTGATAGTTATTGGACATTTTTTCAGCAGAACTATAACATTTAAATTTTTTTTAATTGCTGAAAACATCACTTTCTATGTGTACAACTTAGTGGAATTTCACTTTTTAGGTTGTATAGCCATTCTTAACCTCTTTTTTCAGATTCTCTTCCACTGCCAGCATTACTGCTCCCTGAGTTTCCTGCCTAACTTTCTGGCTGCTTTGCCAATTTAGTCCCATGTAAACATGTAAAGATTTTTTTCCTCATCTCATTTGTTTGATTTCTTAGATGAAGCCTACTCAACTAAATTCTACTAAAATAACTTCCATAAAATTAATGTTACAGGTGGAACAGGATCCATTGTTAGGATTTGGAGCAATAGCAATTGCTGTATTGTGCTCAGGGTTTGCAGGTAAGTCACAAAACTATCATTTTATTCTGTTGTAATTTTTTTTTTAAAGCATTAACTTTAAGTAGGGAGTTAGCTTCTCTTGCTTTACCAAACCAATAATTTTCTTACCCTTGAAGCTTTATTTTCTTGCTTTAGAGTCAGATGTTTTCCAGTAAATATGTGGCAGTGTTGAACTCTGTTGAGACCTCAGTCCTTATTCATATGCACAGTTATCTAAGAATATACTTCTGTCAACCTAGACCTGCCAGTTCAGCTAGGAAACAAAAAGTAAGTGCACAAAGATTGCTAAAAATGGGGGAAACTAGCTGTTAGAAAGGCCAATTACTTATTCCCATTTTCCTGGGACTGGTGCTAACCTATTTAGCTACCCATAAGCTAAATCTTGCTGTTTTAAGTCTACTAACTCAGTATGTTTTCCCTGGCGACCTCAAGCCTCTCTACTGCTTGAGGGTGTGAGGAACATTCTAGTGGAAAGGTACAACTATGGAAGGGCAGTCTATAAAATGAAACCCTTGAGAGTAACAGCCAGAAAAGAAGGGAAGGAAACAGTAACTGATAGAAAGTTTGGACATCTGGAATCACGTGTGTGGGGCAGGAAGTCGTCCACTGACTCAAATAAAGGTAGGAAACTGTAGAAGCCAATATCATGGACAAAATGAATTTGTGTTTTAATAATAGTCCTACCCAAAAAACCTTAGAAGATTTTTTAGTAAGAAGGATATTAGTTACAACTTTGAGTCTTTGTTACTTATCATTTGGATAAGTCTTTATTACTTATCATTTAAGAATTTGGACTGCTTTTATTTTTTACTATAAAATATAACAGGAAACTCAAGTATTACTTGTAAAGAAGATGTTTTATAATAAAGAGTAAAATCTAAATTTAGAGATCTCCTTAATTTGTTGGTGATTTTGAGTTGCTAGATGCCTTTGAGTTGGTTTAGAGACTGTATGTGCACCAAGGTACACCACTGCCTGACCCTGTGCCATTCTTACAGGTTCTCTTCAGGCTACTGTTAACTATCATACTTTTTAACCTCAGGCACTAGAAAATCAGGAATAAGATTTGTCCCTTCTCCCCCTGTACATTATTTGATTTTCCGTTTTGAACATCAAAATGTATGTATCAAACATTAGTCTTGGTTTAATCTCTTCTATACTCTGGTGGCATAATGCACCATGGGTTCCACTGTTAATCAGAAGACCAACAGTAAACCCACCAGCTGCTTTGCAGGAGATAGGCTCTCTCCCTTGTAAAGATAACAGCCTCAGAAACCCCATGGAGGGTCTGCTATGAGCCTGAATAGATTTGGTTTGTTTTTTTTTTTTTTTATGCTTAGAGTAAGTACAAACTGAATACTTAAAACAGTACCCCTTACATGGTCAAATAAAAGGCGGCAAATAGGAATAGCCATTGTGTTTGTTGGCATTTTCTGGCTCCTTTCAACCAAAACAATCTTACCATCATTACACTTTCCAGTTTATTAGTATTTTAGAGAAAATTCCCAAGTCTTTGTTTGTATCTAAAATATTTAGTGTCCTTGTTAAACATGCATTTCAGCAATAGTATACAGCAATTGGGAGATCATATACTATTTTTGAGTCACTTAGAAAATCTAATGCTCAACCCCAGAAAAATTCACATATATATAAAACTGATTATCTTGTTAGGTAGTTCATAGCCCTTCTACAAGTATTTATTAACTTGGCATTTGGAACTATGCTTTCAAGGAAAGTGATTTCACTCAGCTCACTCATAGTTAAGTTCTATATAAATTTTATTTTTGTTATCTGTTCTGAAAAGTTCTAAGTAGTGAGTATGAAGTTTAGTTTGTATTACTAGACACATATGATAGGCGTATGCTTTAAGACACTTCACTCAATAATATAGTTTTCCAGCTGACCAAAGGAGTCCTTCCTTGGCATTAATACATGAGCTTTTATGACCTTACGCCAAAAACACGGGCAGAAACAGTTCTTAAAAAGAATTTAACTGTTTCCTGTTAAATGTAGCTTATAAAATGTTCTATCTTATTTATTCCATAAGATCTGTGAAAGTACAAATATAATGTGGATCACAACATAGGTAGTATGTTATACATTTAATTACATTGGCCTAAGTGAAGAACACTTAAACTTAATTTCATGTTTTCATATTTAATTTTCTTTCAGGAGTGTATTTTGAAAAGGTTTTAAAGAGTTCAGATACTTCTCTTTGGGTGAGAAACATTCAGATGTATCTATCAGGGATTGTTGTGACATTAGTTGGCGTCTACTTGTCAGATGGAAATGAAGTTAAAGAAAAAGGATTTTTCTATGGTTACACTTACTGTGTCTGGCTTGTTATATGTAAGTATCTAGGAATGATTGTTTCTATTTAGAACTCCCCTTTCCCTTTAAGTTAGAAGTCCACATTAAACTTCTGTGGCATCTTAAATGAGTCCTTTAATACTGTGAATGCTAGTTTGAAAGTGTAATTTGGGTTTGACTGAGAGTTTTGTTGCATACCTATCCCAAAGCAATTCTGCCTCCACAGTAACAACTGTGTATAGTGTTGTGCATAGTAACAACTATGTATTGTGTTAGCGATAAATATGTACAATTTGTAGTGGACCACACAGCCATTTGAGTATGTGAAACACAGTGTTTTTATGCAGGAATAACCCTGTTTTAAGACAGACTCTCAAAGAGCTGCTTTTCAGAAAATAATATTTTGTAAGTAAATTACTAAGTCATGTTTGGGAACAGAAATTGTCTTCCCATGCTAGAATGTTTCATTTATGGGATGTTAAGATCTTACTTCTTTCCCTACACAAGTTCTTGCAAGTGTTGGAGGCCTCTACACTTCCGTTGTGGTCAAGTACACGGATAACATCATGAAAGGCTTCTCTGCAGCTGCTGCCATTGTCCTTTCTACCATTGCTTCAGTCATGCTGTTTGGATTACAGATAAGTATGTCCTTGTTTGCACCGTTGTTAACATGAAGAGCTTCCCTTCCTTGATTAATTTAAACTTACTGGTGTCTTAACAGTGAACTCTGGTGGCCTTGTGGCAAGAAGCTGAGCTACCATCCCAAAGGCACGGGGTTTGAGGCCACCATCTGCTCTGTGGGAGGAAGATTATATTCTCCTCCTGTGTAATTAGGAGCCTCTGAAAACCCGCCAGAGGGTCAGCAGTGGGTCAGTTCTGACTCAACGGTACACAACAGTGTCTTATTTAGAGCGATCTGGTGGCTTTTGTAAGGACTTGCATTGCCAAGCGAAGGTAGGCAGTTTGAATCTAGCAGCTGCCCCGCAAAAGAGATGAACAGTGTCCTCCAGGCCAAGTGAACGCCTCCAGAAAGTCAGCTATGGGTTGGACCCGACTCCACGGTGCTCAGCAGCATTGCCTTATGTAATGCTGCTGTAACAGAAATCCTCTAAGTGGATAGTTTCCACAAACAAACTTCTCTGTTTAAATTCAAGGAGAAGGATTTTTCTTTCTGTATCTCTTGCTTTGAGGAGGCTCCCTCCCAGACAGGAATCCTAGATCCAAAGAATATGCTCCTTCCCCAGTTCTGTAGTGTACTTGTCGGTCCTTCTTATCTCTGCTCACTTGTTTAATCTCATTAATATCTTAAAAGAGGTTGACTTGAGGCTGGAGAACATTATATTGTGTGGACTCAGTCTCATTAGGACAAATACTGCGCAACACTATTATTATAAAAACAGAAGGATAACTAGTAAGATGTGTACAAAAGTCCAAAGGGAGAAAGGTGGGGGGAAATCACGAGGTTGCTTAGTTGGGGGTGAAGGAATTAGGAAAGATTCAGTGAGGACCTGAAAAGGTGGGGAAATAATAGGCATGGATCATGGTGATTAAAACACAATTAATATAAACACAATGTATACAAACTTTGTATGCAAACTAATATAATTTTTTTAAAAAAGATTAGAAATACAGCTTAATCCTGTAGATTATATCCTACCTCAGTCACATTAATTAATATTAATCCTATCTCATTAACACCACAGAGATCAGGATTTATTACAGATAGGATCACTGAATGGAGTATTATATAATACTGAAAAGAAGGGGCTAGCCCAGATGAGATGTTTTGGAGACACTGTTCATTCTGTAACTGGTAAACTGGGTGTGGCTTTGTGAATGAAGCTAGAACATAAGCTGAGGAGTGTGGATTTTGCATGAAAGTAATAGGTTACTTAATTCCAAAAATGAGCTTTTTTTCTTCCTCCAAGTATAGACTCCCTGCTGCCCAGTTATTACATATAATACAATTGGGTGATGCAGGACAAAATTAGTAGGATTAGACACTTAAAGAAACACATAGACTTTAGGAAATGATTACTTTCTGAAGGCTACTCGTATTGTTTTTAAAAAGTGAAAATATCTCTTAGCTCTCTTGTCATTTCCTAATTGGAAAAGCAGGAGCCTTGGTAGCACAGTGGTTAAAGTGTTTGCCTGTGAACTCAGTCTGCTACCGCTGTGTGGGAGGGTGTGGCAGTTGAGGCAGCTGTGTGCTGTCCCATAAGTTTCTGTGTGTCAAAACTGGATAACAGAGGTTTGGTTTGTCTTTTTTTTAACCTTTTCAAGGCTTCTCTACAAATTGGCTCTGAAACTACAATCCAAATTCAGGTTTTCCTCCATAAAAATTTCATTATTCCATATAATATACAATTAATATAAGGTTCATTGTTGTAACTTGCATTCTGGTACCACTGCTTGTAATGTAATTTAGTCCTTGTAATTTTCCTTAGCCCACATCCAGCATTAAGTTGGTTTCTGAATTATTTACACAGCAATGTTTCAGGGTACTTTTATGCTGTGTTCGTTATCTTTGCTGATAGGTAATATACTATAATGCATGAATAGAAACAAATGTATATATTTAGATTTCATTTTAAATTGACTGTTGATAAATGCAAAAAGAAGTACATTAGCTTTGTAAACTCCTAGAAAACCATTTTCTAGTGTACCTCATTATCTTGGTTGTACCATTTATTAGCTGTGCAACTTTGGGGAAGTCTGCTTTCTTTCTCTGTAGATGAGTTTAGTATGACGTACCACCTAAGGTTCATTCTGATAAAGTGCTTAAAATAGTGCCTTACATGTTACAGTGTTCTGTATAAAGTTAGTACTTAACAATGTTAGTATTAGATATACTAGGTATCTACAGATCCTCCATTAGGTTTTTATTACTAGTTTTGGGCAGATTATCCGAGAGGCTGGGCTCTATGAGGAGAAGCGTGGCGTTAGGATTGGTGGACGATCTATCAACAATATGCGTTATGCAGATGACACAAACTTGCTCCCTGAAACTGAGAAGGACCTCTTGCACTTACTGCAGAGGGTCAAGGACTGCAGCCTTCAATATGGACTGAGGCTCAATGTCAAGAAGACAAAAATTCTCACCACTGGACCAAT